TGGAGCCAGAAGACTCATCTCACAGTACAATGATTTATGGGCAAATGAGATTGGGAGCTCGAAGACTCATCTCATAATTCAAAGATTCCTCAGAATACTGAGATTGATTTTAAAGAGGTATACTCTTTCATGGTGAATGTTATTAAATACGTGGTCACAAAGTATCTAATGAGAATCTAGATACAAGTATTTATATGAAAGTTCCAGAAGGACTTCGATTTCCCGAAGCAATTAGTTCCAGATCACGGAACATAAACTCAGTTGGGCTGAGATGTTCACTTTAATTATGACTAGAAATATTCTAGAAGAATATAAGACAATTGCCTAAGTGAACAATTGCTCGGAAGAGAATATGTGAACAATAATTGGTTTTGATTGTTCCTATTACTACAATTTATATAAAGGACATAAACTTGATTTAGACTAGAAGTCAAGTAAGAAAAACTCAATTGTTGAAAATTTGAGTTCAAGATCAAAGATCTAAAGAAGACTAATTTCTTGTCCCTACCGACTTCAAATTTATCATGTCAATTGAATTTTTGTCCATCAATCGAATTACATCCAGAAGATGTTATGGATAAAGATAAATTATCGAGTAACACCTATAGGAGTTGGAAAGTGGAATAGGTCCAATGATTCATTTCGTCCCATGGAGAAGGACGAGGAAGTGTTAGCACCAGAAGTGCCATATGTAAATGCAATATATGCATTATTATGCTTAACTCCATGTACTCGATATGATTAAGATTTTTTGGTAAATTTATATGATAGACTTATCTCACCTTACTCTATGCATCAATGAATGAGGCGAAACTTGTGGTTTATATTGGCATTGACTAGAAGTCATATCCACAAAAGGCTCGTTCCCAATCCATGGTTAAGTATTGGGAAAATAGCTATGTCTTGGGATTCTATGAAATGTACATCGGTTGTCACTAGATCAAATCATGCATGATGTTTGTTTCACAAGATAGTGAGTGAATGCACTTGGCCTGAAGCCATGATTATGCATGTTCGAGATTCCTGTGAATCGACTAACACAAAAGATCCTACGATATTGTATTTTACTGTAATACAGTATGCATTGAGCAAATGAAGACGGGCTTCATTAAAGTGATAACTCCATGTACATAGCTTTGAAGTTTTCTTCAATCAACAACAATAAGAGCTGAAATGATCCAGCAGATCATGATTTAAGTTAACTACGCAAACTTATTTACTAAGTCTTCGCCTAAAGTCACTATGAAAATTCATGTTAAGGCTTTTGACTTGCGTAGATTATACAAGCTCGCTCCCTTGTAGACATCAGGGGGAGTTAACTTGAGGGGGAGTACCCTGTAGGTACTCAGTATTCAGAAGATACCCGAGTGCCCTGTTGTACTCTTTTTCCTTCGTGCGAGGTTTATTTTTCCCACAGGGTTTTAGTTACTCGACAAGGTTTTAATGAGGCAACATTTGTTGATTGAAAAGATTGTGCGTTGTACTCTTTTCCCTAACCGAGATTGTTTTTTTCCCAATGGGTTTTATGACTCGGAAGGTTTTAACGAGGCAACACAAAAAGCACAATAGTGGTTTGATAGGAACCCAAGGGGGAGTGTTGTAAATAGTATGGAATGTGTGGTTTCCTAACATAACCACTTGATGGTTTTCAACCTCCCACTAGTGTAAACTTCCCACACCTTAGTCCCATGATGTGTGCAGGAAATAACTTCCATGGAACTTCCATTTGTAACTCCTCCTTGTAACTTCCGGTGGCTTACACCTATATTAATGAGAAAAACTCCCTCCCCATGGATACCCACAATTTTATCTCTACGGATTCTTGTTCTTTGCATTCTCTCATTCGCTCTCCATTATCGTTATTATGTTCTTATATATTTCCACAAACACAAACCAAAGAGCTAGATAAATAGGCCATTTTACAACAAAATTGCATTTATCATTTTTTTAGTCTGCATTTAGTATTTTCATTTTTACATCAAATATTAAAAAAAAAAATAATGCAAACATATTTGTCTTTTTTTTTCTCTTTCTTCATTTTAACATTTTTACACTATTATAAAATAATTAATTTCCCTTTTTTTCTTACATATTATTGAAAATTACAAAAAACATGTTTTTCGTTTTTTAATTCAATTTACATATATTTTATTTTATTTGTATTCAATATTATAGTAGTCAATGTTGTGTATACTATAGGATATTATCATATACTACGGTGTAATGTGGTTTATTACGGCGTACTATTCCAACCCCTAGAAGAAAAACAAATCTCAGCCGTCGCCAGAACCCTAGCAGCCAACAAACTAGCAGCCGCCGGCAACTCCTATCCACCCAAACCCCAGCAGCCCACCAAAACCCAATGGCCGTAAAAAAAAAAACCTAGGTTGATGCAGGCCATCTACCACTATAAACATCCCCTTCACAACCACGATCACCACCGCCATCAGCTTCCTCTACCGCCACTTCTGGATGATAATAGAGATGTACGCCATAGCCACCATCTCTCTCTACCGTTACTTCGGGATAATCCACCGCCGCAGGAATTTGCAGATATGTTGTTCTCCGCCACCCACCATAGCCATCGCCATAGCTGTCGTCACCTGCCCAACCATAATTGAGCGGCGAGAGAGATATGTAGAGATAGAGATAGAGAGAGGGAAAGAACAAGAGGGAGAGGGGGAGAACGAGAGGGAGATGGAGAGAACGAGAGAGAAGCAAAGAGAAAACAAAAGAGGAGAAATAGATCTGATAAGTTGGAGAAACGTGAATATAGATGTTATATTTAGGGTATAAGAGCAAACTAGGGATTAAACAAAATTGAAGTATGTGGCTCATATATTATTCGATAGTAGGGATATAATTAAAAGATTTAATTTAAGGTTGCCATTTAGTTTAAATTATGTTTGATTTGAGGGGCTCTTAGCATATTACCCCTTAATTTTTTATGTAATTCATAATTTTCACAATAATTTGATCATCATATATATAACAAATGGTATATTACAAATAATCCTATCATGGGCTACTTATTCTTAAAAGGGTTCAGACAATTTTTTTTTTTTACAAAAAAAAGTCATATATAGACATCAGTAGGGGTTGTTTCGGTACGGTTACCGAACATTTTGTTCAATACCGTGTACCTACCGTATCTTTCGGTATTGAAAAATTCTATACCGTTACCGTACCAATAATTGCGGTATACCGTTATTCGGTATACCGTAAGTTTCGGTACGGTATGATCGGTACGTGGTAATCTACCGTACATCATTTTTTTGATGAACTCGGATGATACCATAATTAAGATGAATACTAAATAAATGCATAAATACAACAAATTAAGCAAATGAATATGGTGATCGATCAAGCAATCTACATGAATATACATTATACAACCGTAGTAGCATATGTTGCTTTAATTAACTAATGCTTACTAAGATATCTATAGAAAAATTGTAGAAACTTGTAATGAGCAAAAAATTTTGATGGTTCAAGTAAGAGAAATAATTTTTTTTTTTTTTGCAATAATGCAAATGAAACAGAAGACTGGGAACTCAGGGGGGAAAGAAATGGAGAAGAAAATATGGCAAAAAATATTCCACCAATAAGTGATTAATTGGACTTTGAAACTAAAGAAGTACGTGACATAAACAACTTTAACGAGAGCTAATATTGAGTTTGCATAAATATATGAAGATATTAAAAAAATTATAATTATGTATATATAATATATATATGATGTATCATGTCGTTATTCTTGTTTTTTATTTTCTTTATAATATTTGTTGACTATATTTTTTTTTATCTAAAGTTGAATATAAAGTATAAAGTTGAATATTTGTTGAATATATTAACTAATTTTAAAAATATAAAGTTGCGGTACGGTACGGTATTACCATGGTATTGAAGATACAATACCGCTACCGTACCGTAAGGCAATGGTACGGTACCGATACCGTACCAAATGTAGTGGTAAGCGATAGTTCGGTATTTATTCGGTAATTTATGGTAGGTATACCGTGGTAATCGGTATTTGGTAATTTTTGCCCAGCCCTAGACATCAGTATGAATTGTTTTTAAATTTTTTCGATCGTAGTCATCTATAGACACCCGTAGGAAAC